GGTGCTGGGAAAACTGAGTATCCAAATGCAGAAGAATGAAACTAGACCCCTATCTCTCACCATATACAAAAATCAATTCAAAATGGTTTAAAGCTCTAAATGTAAGACTCAAAACATAGGAGGAAACATAGGAGAAATGCTTAAGGACAGTGGTCTGAACAAAGATGTTATGGGTAAGATCTCAAAATAATAGGTAACCAAAGCAAAAATAGACAAACGATATTATATCAAACTGAAAAGCTTCTGCACAGCAAAAAGACAATGAACACAGTAAAGAGATGGCCTACAAAACTGAAAAAAAAGTTTCCGAACTATGCATCCGACAAGGGATTAATATCCAGAGTATACAGGAAACTCAAACAGCAGCACAAAAACAAACAATCCAATTAAAAAATAGACAAATGATCTGAATAGACATTTCTCAAAAGACATCCAAATGGCCAACAAGAATGTAAAAAAATGCTCAATATCATTAATCATCAGGGAAATGTAAATCAAAACCACAATGGGATCTCATCTCACTCCAGTTAGAATGGCTATATCAAAAGGACAAAAAATAACAAATGCTAGGGAGGAGGTGGACAAAAGGGAACTCTTATACACCGTTGGGAATGTAAGTTAGTACGGCCATGTACTAATGGAAGTTCTTCGAAAAACAACAAAAAGAACTACCACATGATCCAGCCACCCCACTACTGGGAATATATCCAAAGGAAAGGAAATCAGTATGTTGAAGAGAGATCTGCACTCCCATGTTTACTGCAGCCCTATTCAGAACAGCCAAGATATGGAATCAACCCAAGTGTCCATCAACAGATGAATGGGTAAAGAAAATGTGGTGTATATATACAATGAAATACTACTCAGTCAGAAAAAAAAAAAAAAAAGAAATCCTGTCATTTGCAGCAACATGAATGAGCCTGGAAAACATTAAATTAAATGAAATCAGCCAGGCATAGAAGGATACAATATTCATGTTCTTACTTATATGTGGAAGCTAAAAAAAAAAGTTGATCTCATAGAAATAGAAAGTAGAATAGTGATTATTAGAGGCTGCGAAGAGTAGGTGGAAGCTGGGGATAGGGAGAGGTTGGTTAACAGATA